CCAAGCAGATGACATAAAGAACAGAGAGAATCTTGCAAAGATTTCGAAACCACGAGCAACAGAAGGAGGAAGACACAAGTGACTGTCTAGTCACCTTGTCCAAACAACACCTGATCATATTTGAGGAACTCCTTCAGAAAGGAGTAAATTACAATACGGAAGATGTTTCAGGACCAGAATTCTTCGCATCCCTAGAGTCATTATTGAACACTGCAACCAGAAATACGACAAGTAATCGTACATTTGACCAAGCGGAAGCGAAACTAACCAATGAAGAATGGAGAGCTTGAAAGAAACTGAAGAACAAGAAAAACATCATTATAATTCCAGATGACAAAAGGTGCACCACAGAGGTCAAAGGCTTACTCATGAATCGAAATGTACGTTAACCAACTGAGATAAGACGATCAAAAGTTCGACTTCAACCTCACTAAGATCTTAAACATATTCGTCAAAGCGGGATAAACTAAAAAACAACAGCAGGAGCGAATGAAGTGCAATGGATCTGTTCTTCTGTATTTTTATGGTTGACTGAAAGTATACAAACTAAAAACCACACTACAGCCAAATACTTCACTTGCAGGAACTCTAATATATAATCTTTCGAAAGAACTTTTCAGAAAACTGAAACGTTTGGTTTAATCATGCAACAACTTTATCAAATCTTCAACACAATTTTTGGAAACAATCAAGTTTATTCATATTGATAACGACGAATTAATGGTGTCTTTCGATGTTACAACTCTATACACGTCAATTGAACCGGAACTAGCTGCACAAATAAACCATCCAGCTCAGAGAACACACCACCACCACCACCAAAACAACATGTTTTTAAGAAAACATAAGGAAATTATAAGTTAAGCGAGAATTTCCAGGTGAATGAAGTCAGTTTTTTTAATGAGATTGTACATCATAAACCTAGGTAACAGACAAATGGAATACTCATGATAACCTACCTGCATATGAGATGCTTCTAGAATGATCAAATGGAGATACAGCCCGATAAAACCTCTGACATTTAGTTAGAGTCATGCTAGAAAGGTAGTCTTTGGATGTTTGTAGATCCCAGATGATCATATAACCGATATAAGGTATCACAAAGTGCCAAGTTCTATCCTGATGAACAATGACTAACTGATTCTTTCTTTATATTAGTTGCAATATGAAATGCGTGAATGTTCAGGATTGTTCAATCTTTCTACATCATCTTTCCATTAGCTTTTATTTATGAGAATATTAAAGAATAATCAAATTAAAATGTAGTGAGAATATATTTGACCGATATAGTATTTTTTTTGTAAGAGAACGGAAATAGAAAGAAAAGGTCGAATATTAAGTAATTGCGTAGAAGTGAGGTTGTAAACAGCTGACATATGTAGAAAGACTCGTTTGTGTGAAGTGTCGTACACAGGAAAATGAATATTTCCCATGAAATAAAAATATTACTAATCATTGAATATAAACGGGATAGGGAATTTATTCTTAACTATTTTTCAGTCAGTGCAGTATTCAACTAGACGGCGAAGGTTTGATCATCATTTCAGGTATCTTAAATACAACATCTTTCCTATGAGTATTATCAATAACTACAGAGATAGTTATTAATTTGTTTGATAGCAATATTTTTTTATTAATATTTCAACAGGATACGACAAAATATCCTGAATTGCTCAGTGGTAACGTTGCCAACTGGAATACTGGATGACGCGAGTTCGAATATGATAGAGGAAATCGCTTCTTTCGAAGTTATAAATACGTCTTGCTAACGAGTCCCAAAAGAAAGAAAAAAACAACCTAGGTCCAGGACTTTTTGAGGATAAACTTCAATCAACTCTTCTAGCATTTACACCTACCACTGATAGTTTTCACCATAGAAACCTTATCAGATGATTTAACCGGTTAATTTTCAATAGCTAGTGAAATGGTTCTGAACCACGTTTAAACGTCAATTGTCCTGCTCACAACTTTGAAGTAAGAAGGATTTTTCATCGAATATACCATATCACAAATTTCTGTAATTGATTGAACTTGTTTTAATCAATCAAATATGTCTTCAAACTGTACAATGTACTTTTGCGCATTTTTAAAATATTTTCAATGCATCATTTTTCAAGTTATCAAATAACATATAGAGAAAAAATCACGACAGATGGCAATGGTTTGGAAGCGTTTAAAAGAAAACTACTGAACTAATCATGGTATAGTGTTATTGCTTGTATTACACCGTCGTTGATCGCCCCCGAGTCCGAGTCCCAGTGGGAACAACATCACTCAGGTACATCCAGCTGACGAGTCCAAAATAGGAAAAAACGCACATTCTGGATTCCACTGGTAGCCACTGCCCATCATTACTATACATAGTTAAAAAGACAGGCAATATCGAGGCATCTGCATAGGAGCCCATATACCAACAGAGACTGATCAGTTCGGTCCAATCAACGACGGTGTAATACAAGCAATAACACTGAACCTATACCCATCGCACAAGAATTGGCTATCGTGGCTCGGTTGTGTAGTGGGTAACGCGCTGGCGTTTGAAGCGATCGCTCCCGAGTCCCAGTGGGAACAACATCACTCACTGAGAGGCAGGCACATCCAGCTGATGAATGCAAAATAGGAAGAAATGCGCATCCTAGATTCCACTGTTAGCCACTGCCCATCATTACTAATCATCGTGTAGTTAAATTGAACTACGAATTTTTGTACTGGCAAAATGAATATAATGGTTTCATCTGTAAATATTGTACAACGCATGAATTTCCTGTAATATCGTACACTGAGAATTTTTATACCGTAACTGTCTAGAATAAAGTGATTATTACCAATTTAGGAGAAAAAATTATTTACACACACTAATATTTCAATAGTTGATCATTTTTGACAAATTTAGCGTACTATACATAATTATTGCTTTAAGTGTAAATATATTCATTGAAACATCATTTCACAAATATTCTACAGATTAAACGTAGTTGCACATTAACATTACTGTGTCTCAGATCAGTTGGTTTTGTGGGTTTACCTACCTGAAATCATTTCAAGATTAAAACTTTTATATTTTCTACAGAAAACTTTCAGTAGATTTGCTCAAATTGAAGATAAAAAGGTTCACATAACTTGAACAAATATGTATGTCAACATGCTATGATAATTCAAGAAAAATAATAATTCAAGCCTAAAATTGTAAGAATAGGCAGAGATCTGATGTAAGCTAACATAGGTATTATAAACCGATTGACATTGAGGCAAAGTTATTCGTCGGATTATTTCGATAATATATATATATATATATATATATATATATATATATATATATATATATATACCCCTTCAGTCTACTGAGCCAGCTGGGATGAAACTGCTCAGTATGCTCACTGGATTATAAAACTTAAGAACTAGGTTTTTCTCTTCATATTTATTTAGTCAAGCATAACAATATATCATGGCGACAAATCTGTTTAAAATTTTTATAGTATCAGCGTAACATGCATTAGATAATAATGCCACACTTATTTATAAAACGCTTCTATTTATCTCACTAATGGACAAAAGACTGTGCTGCTAAGGTAGCCAACTTAAGATACTTCACTTGTGGGTAGTTGAGGGTTTTCTGCACTCAAAAACCACTGGAATCTTAATGATAAATTAGGGTGAGTTATAATTTACCGAAAAAGCAATGACCGAAAAAACAAAGGAAGCTATTTGGTAGTAAATGAAGCAAACTACTGTATGGATCATTTCACCAGACTTCATATAACACCTTGTAGTTTCCAAATATGGCTTAAAAGTGTAACAGTATAACAAGGAAATCATGATCGAGTTTAACTATAAGTTTTACATTTCACGCAGAAAACCAAGATACAATAAAAATCAACGGGTGACATTTGAAGCATACTCCATTTCGAACAATCACAGCTAGATAATAATAAATATTTTCAGTATGGTCATTCGGGAACCATTGTATAAGAGATTTTCAGGTCCTACGAAAGAGTACTAAGTAAGACAGGAAAGTTGATTGATCAGGATGTGAACCTCAGCCAACTGAAAAAGCTTGGACATGTACTACGCATACCGAGCCACCGCCCACCTCGATTTGTCTTGCTAAGAGAAGCTCGGCTAGGTTGGAAGAGGGCTCAGCATGGCCAGACCAAGACATGCCATCAATCGACGAACTCGCTGACTGTTGGTCTGAGTCGTGTGTGGAGCTGAGAGAATAAACAGTTTGAATATGAAGGGTAGCGACCAATAATTCAAGCTTTCGAAGACATCAAACAGTGAATAGATCTGCACCATCGTGACTGATTTCCAACCATGTCACCAAAAGTCATCAACCACTGATTTCTATCGTCTCGGAGACCATAGTCAGGTAGTCTACAGCTCCACACACGACTCAGACCAACAGTCAGCGAGTTCGTCGATTGATGGCATGTCTTGGTCTGGCCATGCTGAGCCCTCTTCCAACCTAGCCGAGCTTCTCTTAGCACGACAAATCGAGATGAGCAGTGGCTCGGTATACGTAGTACATGTCCAAGCCTTTTCAGTTGGCTAAGGTTCACATCCTGATCAATCAACTTTCCTGTCTTCCATGGTACCCTTTCGCCTAACCTCAAAGTTGCTCACATGCTGAGGAAGAAACCTATGATCAGAACACATTAATCTCTTCATGTCATCAACTTTTAACTGCTACATCTCACAGCCACATAATGGAGTGGACAACGGTGGCGCAGTATACTCATCCTTTGATAGATAGTCGAATCTCTCATTAGTTGGCGACCCAGATGGTGCAATTTGGCAAAAGCCGAACGGGCCTCCTGTATCCAAGGTTGGACTTTGTCAGTAAAAAGCGCATTCAGGCTGAAACTGTCGATGAACCTGATTCATAATTGACAACAAATGCGACACTGTATCTTATTCCTTCACGTGAGTCAAATGTTTTGAATCGATGAGTAAACAGTATAAATGAGCAAAAACAATTTACCGATAATTACACTTAAAATCAGTTTTTATACTCAATCATAAGTTACAAACTTTAAAACAGTGTGAAACTGAAACTGTGTAAGCTATGAAGTTTTGGTTTTAAGGATATGAACCAGACATACAAAGCGAAATTCCTCCATATAGTTAACATCCAAGAAACAACACAATACAAACCGACTATTAAGGGTCCTATTCACTGACCATATTGTAAATGGGTGTATCACATGAAAAATATATGAGTGATTGAACTGACAGAAAAGTACTGAGCAAATAATTGTTCAATATTCGATGGCCACTGTGGCTATTATAAAAAGTAAGTCCCTCTGGTAAACAGTTGGTCAATGATATTGACTATTGCCGATACTTACATTTCACAAGCAACAGTACATCTCTAAAACGTTTGGAATTCGATTTACTGATGAATTTAATCAGTAGAGACGTTTGATTCTATAAACTTCATCAGCCGAACACTGTATATGTATGTATGTACACAGTATGAAAACTAGTATTATGAAGCTATGAACACTTTCACAATTGAATAATACTAGTTACCAGAAAATTGAAAAAGTCTAGTAAGGTGTTGGATTAAAACACACTAGAAAAGTCAACAAAATAATTCAGCAAAGAAAACATCACATTGTATTATGTACAGTATATTGTTTTACATCTTTTCTTTGTGTATAAAGTAAACAAGACTTCATTTGAACACCTTCTGAAGCAATTTCTTGTCACCGTAATGAATATTCACTCTGTTCTTTAATTCTTCTAACCAACAATTATCCAGTTCACTGTAACCAATCAAAACAGGTCGAATAGGTTTGTCAACATTATTATTATTATCATTATTTTCATTAATGTTATATTTGTTGTTATCAGAACATGATGTAGAAGTGTTATCCTTGTTTCCTATACTCGCTGTCATTTTATCATTAGATACTGTACAGGCAGCTTGTGTAACAGTGAATAAACCGCCTAGATGTGATAAAAACTCTTGAAAATTTGTTAAAGCTGTACGCAAACGGTGACGATGCTTCTGTGCCTAAAATTAATAGGAAATAATGATAATACTGCTCAGATTATATATAATTGTAATTAAAATATTTAACAAAAAAGAGAAAGAAAAAATAACAACAATTATCTATCTGATTCGTAATAAAAAAGCAAACAAAACTATGTATGAAACAGTTCTAAATAACAAAACATAGTGTAAGCGAAAACATGCAAACTAAAAGAAGAAAGTAGGAGTTATTCTGTGAACAAAGAGGCAGGAAGATTAAAAAAAAACAATGACAAAACTAACAACTTTTAATCTTCACATCAAAGAAGACAAGAAAAAAAAACAAACAGAAGAAAGCGAAAAAATATCAAGGAATAAGAAGAGGAGAAATCCTAATAGTCACGCAATTATACACTAAGAATACATTGAACTGATCTTAAAAAACATTCCCCTTTTATTTTTTACTCTACTGAGAATACAATTATAGGAGACGAAATATATGAATAAGATTTTATTCTTAATGAATAAATGAAAGAAGAAAGCATTAAAGACTGAATGAAACAACCATAGTGATGATAAGGTTGACCAAGGTATTCTCCGTCAATGAAACAATAAAGTTGCCAATACAATAATATATATTTGAATAACCTTTGAAATGTAAAAAAGATTTCGCTTCTACTAGTTGCTCGTATGAAAGATATACATTTTGAGTTATAGACATAAAATTGTAAATATACCTTACTTGAGATACGGTTATTAAAAAGTAATGAAACACATCAGCCATCACTATCTCGACCAATCAACACCTGGGGTAATATCCCAACTTCATTAGTTCATATGTTTTCATTTTGAAATCTTCAGTGTTTTTCACATAATCATTCAACCAAACTGAATATAATTCGAACTAGCAACTGGTTGACTTTAAAGTAGAACAACAAGATACAGACAGAGACAGATAAAATTACCGTAGAACTTCGCACACGGATGATTTGGATCAAAAAGTCTGATACTAAAACAGACAAAGTAGTGTGAGAGAAAATACAATTTGAAGATAAAGGTTAGCGCTTAAGAACTGAAGAGTGAATAAATCTCCGCCACTGTCACCAATTTTCAGCTATGTCACCAAGAACTTTCTACCACCGATTCCTATCGTCTCGGAGATACCAACTAGGCAGTTCACAATCTCCCTTCCCTAAACAGCTCAGACCGAAAGTCAAGAACTTTATCAACTGGTGCTAAATCTGTCTGACTTAATTGAACCTTTTTCCAACTTAATATAACTTCACCGAGCATGACACGCCGAGGTAGGCAGTAACTCTGTATGTGCGACACACGTCAAAGCCATCTCGGTTGATGATGTTTCACAACCACATCGATCGCCTTCGCTTTCTTGTCTGGTACTCTTCGTTTAACCTCAACATTATTCACAATGTGATTCCACTATATGCGACTAATGTTGAGAAGACATCTACCATCAAAAACTTGCAAACACTTTTACTAGTCATGTTTCACAGCCATAAAATATGACACAATAAACTACAGTATAGTATACTCGCTCTTTGATAAATAGCCGGATATTCCGCCATTCGGTGCTACAAATGACATAAGTTGACGAATGCCAAACAAGCCTAATGTATCCAAGCTGATGTAACTCTCCGAGTAAGTGGGATGATCGACACAGTCCACCACTTCACTCCCTTTCATTAGGCTGGGAGTAGTCCTGGGGAATCGGAGCACATTGCACAAACATGTTTTACTCTACAGAGTTGTAGAAAACGAGATAGAGGTATCGTACTCATGTTTCTACGCTGCAATACTTTTTTATATAACTGGCCGCTTGTTACTTCAACTCAACGGTGGACACCAAAGGACAGTATTGCCATTAGTTATCGCTGTACGAGGTCAGTTAAAGATTACCACTTCTGGAGCAAAAGCTTGGACGGTAGTCCTGCGTGCTTTCGAGTAAGCGCATGTCTGTATGTCAGTTCGTAGGAAGACCATATGACGTACATCCTTCCAAGCGTAGCTTAGTGATAAGTTTGCCAAAGCTTATTTCAAAGACGAACTGACTAGACAGTTTCTTGAGCAGAAAAACGTTAGTCAACCAGAAGCGGTCTGACGCCATCTATAGTAATAACAGCAATCCAGACTCTGAAGCTAAGAAAATCCCAAAGGAACTCAATGACTACATTTTAACGCAAGGATAAAAGTGTATTACTGCAGACTCCGAGGAACGGAAGCAACTCAATCATAAACAGAGTAAAAGTCTACGCAATAATCGTGATCATAAGAATTCAATGAAAGCAGTGGTGAGAGATAATATTAGACAGCTACTGAAGTTAGTCAAGGAGTGAGATGAAAGTATTAATAGGTAGTGAGAATACACTGAGGAAAGATTTCTCTTCGATTTATTTATAGGGAAGACAAGTCGAACGATGGACAGAAGTGATCTTCAGTTTCAGCTTCATTGCCAGTAACTTAGCCGTATTCTGAACAGAAAGCTGACATAAAGCCTCCAATTCCTACAAAACTTAGAACAGCTTTAAGCAACTTGAAACAATGAAGGGTCTCAGGCCAAAAAACACTTTGAGATTAAAGATGAGGCTAATTGTAATACCAATTAGGGTACGAAAAACCACATATCTTCCACTCTAAATGATGTTGATCGATGATTACCTTGTACTCTAAGAAATGAGATTCGTTAATCACTCGACACTTACTGCAGATCAAGAAGAAAAACTCCGAAGAAACTAGTGACGTTTCGGATGTGGTTGAGAATGGAACGACTACATCTTCACTCGCCAACAGGTACTGGAATGCACCGGTGCACAACACTAGTTGTATTTCTTTACTTGAAAGTGGTGTTCGACACCGCTGACTGAGACGCCTTATGGTAGAATCTGCAGAATCTAACTTAGTCCACAAAACAATGGCCACTGAACACAACTATAAACTCCAAACTATACAATCATTGTTGTACCAATTCACAGGAAGCTAACCGATCAAATTGTGGTGTTAAATGAGGCTATCAATACTTGAAAAAACCATTTCAATTCTCTAAGACAAAACATGATAAGTTCAACCGACAGTATTGTGATGTAAAACATTTCTTAACAAAACATATATGACGCTAAAAATGGTTAGGAAACTGTTTTAAAATCTTGCTACCAGTGAATTTTTATCTATTGTTTCACCTAGCTTGATAGATGCCCATAAAAAGAAGTTGAGAACTTCACAAAATAGTGCAATATTTCAGCTTATAGCACTATAAAGTTATCAAAAGATGAGACCGAAATCATTAATTTCAACTTAAGATATGAAAAAGACGTTTGCACATTGCTTCAGTCCCATCTCTCTTGCCTTTTAGATGGCTCTCTTATACAGAATGGAACAAGCGTGATCCATCTCAGCTTATACTTTTCTTTTGAACCTTTTTGCTCTTCTCATATCTTACTGATTTCCAAGAAAATCCTTCACTTGACCTTTTACATTAAAAAAACTCAAACTGTCTGGCATAACTCAGTCTCTAATATTTCGTTTAATTAATTCCTAACTCATTGTTCTCTCTTATTCTTTCCTGGACTCCAGAAAAAAAAAGACTACTTTTTATTGCATAGGATTCTGAAGGCTGTTATTAGAGTAAGTAGCACACTCCTAACCGAGCTGGTGAATGCAATCATGGATAGGCATCTGAAACCTTGTAGACTACTCGCTAAAAATAGTTTATATGATGACAGGTATCGTCTGCATCCGCACCTCTCTCTATGTCTCTCCTCTGGGAAGATAAGAAGTAGATATATTAAACTCTGCACGCACAATTGTATACAAAAATTCAACTGTACCACTTTATTTAGCTTGTGTATTGTGCGGAGAAAGTCTTGTTAAACATTGTCTTATCAGTCAACTTTGCAGTAGCGAACAGTAATCATGCCCCTTAAGTTATTAAACATTTCAACAGACCTTTTTATTCTTCATTATATGTTGTTAAACAGTATCATTGTTAATGGTTTAAAAATGTTGTACAATGTGTAAATTGATGTAATATCATACGCTGAGACTTCTATACTGTAAATATAATTATGGTGTGGAATAAAGCAAATATATCATTATTATTACTATCAAATAGAATATGAGGGGAGAATATAAAATTATTTAAGATGATTGAAATATTCAGATTGCTTAAAGATGACAGGACTAGGCATAACTGCAAAACCATCCAAGTTCCCACACCCCATACTAAGACGAAACTGTTGTCTTGTAGATAGTAGTAAAAGAGAAAGGGGAGAAATGAGAAAATAATGAATTCCGCATGATGATTAGGAAGGAGATAATATGTGGATACATCTTCATCAATGATTGTTCCAAGCCTGAAACAATACTGAGTAGCCGAACCGAACGACTTTTTTAAGGATTAAAGCAAATAGAAAATTACTGATTAAAATAACTGAGGTACTAGCTAATATATGTTAGTTAGAGGCATCCTTGGTCAACTAATCTAGATCACAGGACATTCCAGTTTATAAGAAAGGACAACCACATCTGACGTTCAACTGGAGTTTGAGAACAGCGACCTCAATGAAGTCAGGAAGGTTTCAGACATGGACAAGGGTGTTTCGATCACATCATCACCAGTAAATAGATTCTAGGTTCGATATCAGCCTATAAATATTTGAATCCTTAGAAATTGGTTCACTTTACAGAGATTATCTGTTTGGTTAAGAATACATAGAGGATATAGTGTTGCTACGTGAGGACCTTAACGAAATATGGTCTTTTAAGCACCTTAAACAAAAACGCGATGCATAGCGGGTATTTTGGAATCCAGCATTAGTTCAAACTGACTCGCAGTCAAGGGCTGACAGATAAGTCCCAGAATACGTTGACCATTTGTGGAAAAATATCTGATGAGATGGTTGGAAAATGTATACATCCCAGGTGACCGTCCATTCAAATGTGTTATGTTACTCAAAAAAAGGAAACGGCTTTAAAAAGAGTCAAGACTGACAGAATAAGGACATGACAACGGTTGTTTGATTGAATCGAACTATAAGCTTTCTTACCGTGTTCTTCGAGATATCACAGGATAATGATTCTAAACTGCTGGATTCAAACTCAACATAGGACGTGATATTACTGTGCGATAGTTCAAAGTCCCACAAATTAACATCATCAGCACATCGAAGTAAAATTTAACAAAATGAGACATAGGAAATAAAAGCAGAAATTAATCAAAACAAACAGGAAGTTCTAAAGAAAATATGAATGAATGAAACAATAATAAAATTGGGTAGAATGTGAATTCATCAATACCCTTGAGATTGATTCTCAATCGTATCATCAAGTATCTTCAACCACCGATTTCAGCTGTCACAACAATACAGACATATCTAATCTGCATTGTCTTCAAAATTTTCAACAGTTTCGCTAACCTTCATTTACTTAACGTTTATCCCTTTTATTTCCCTTTCAATTTTTAAGTACCACTGTATGATTTTTCATATCCTTTTTCCTGTAGTTCTACAAAAGTATGACAATTTAAAATCGGTTCATTTTTGTTCTACATCATGTCATGGGCATATTGATTGATACAAAATAATACTAAATATTTCTATTTCTCCGTAATAAGAGAACAAAAGAACTCAACAGTAATGAAATAATGTTTCGTAATATATTATCAATTCGCCGTGTTTATATTCAATCGTAGAACTGGCTAGTTAACAACAAAAAAAACGAAATTAAACACCACACAAAAAAAACAGCTCAAATAGACAGAGATAGAGACGTAAAACTATGCCATCAAGTGCATCAGTTCAACTGGCTATACTTCACTGCAGTAGATAAATAATTAAGTGCATAGGAAAAGACCGATATCAAAATAGACAAAAGTATGTATGGAATTCATAAATGATATTGCTGCAGAGATCCTGAGGAAATGACTGTCAAAATCCTAAACATAATATATTTCGCCGCCAACCTTCGGATAATTTTCTCCTGCAACAAACTTTTCGGTCAATGTATGAAAGACAAGCCAACGCATTGGGCCATATTAATGTGTGTATACCAGTTTACTTGTTCTTGTGCAGCTGAATACATCGGCCGTACCATGCGTCCGCGTCCGGCTTGCAAAAGGAGAACGGAAATGCATCTTCAGTTCGACAACAGAACACCTCGTGAACTAAGGTCACTTAGCTCCTTTCGAGAGCAAATTCAAAATCCTCTACAGGGTTTCATCAAACCACTCGAAAGGAGTTAAATCAAGGCATCTGTCTACAGCTGAAGCACTAGCCATCCAAAAGTTCTAGCCAGCGTTATGCGTACAAAAAAAGGTACATCCAACCTTTATCTTTGCCATGGCCATCATAAAGCTCTGTCTGCCACAGATTCATTTTGTATCTAGTAACTACACATGTATACCTTATTCATTTTTCTACTCTGTCATAGATTTAACCTGCATTACGTTATTACAATCTTATTTTCAAAGTTTCCAACCATTGATTCATATTCATCTTGAGAATCCCAGCTACACACTACACCTTCATGCATAGAAAAGAAAAAGTCAAAAACGTCATGAACTCGTACTACATCATCATTTGGTGGTCCTGAGATTTCTTCCAATCCACTCCTACTTCGGTTAACATTGTACGTCGATGCCGTTAATGATTCGGCATACGCAATGTATGTTCACCTCGTCAACAGACTTACTTACTTTTGCAGTAATATCTGCCTTAGCTCTCTGTTATTCACACGGTGACTCATCTATATACGAACGATTCTGTGAAGTTGTAATCAAAGCCCGTGTAATCTCTGCATATCCTCTACTTGCATCAGCTATGTATCATGCAGTAGACTGCAGTACCGTATACTCGTCCTTCAATAAGTAGTCATATATCTCACCGGCACCGGAGATGATGTAAGTTGATAAATGCAAAACGAACCTTTTGTATTTTAGCTGAGATTTTGTCAGCGAAAAACTCATTTGGACTGATAGAGAAACCAGTTCGAATTGCTATAATCAGTTGACTGCTCTGAGATATAAGCATATCCTATTCAGTATCCATGTAGTGATAATGCAAAATTACAGATAATATTGATGACGTTTTTTAATGTTTATCGAAAAAGATGAGAGTTTAATTATTCAGACATTCATTTAGGCTGGAGCAACTAAGTGATTTAGATGCAGTAGAGATGACAACATCAGTGTTATTCATCGACATCCAACTTAATATCTGACGTTTTGATATTTGCGAATTCCTGTTGCTGTGTAGGGTTACATTGCTCGACCTTTCGTGGCAGATAGGCTTCTGCATAGATACTTCGATACTGCAGGATATTCATCACGAAGCTGCATTTATGCTTATGACAAGCAGTGGGATCTAGAATGTGCTTTTCATCTTATTCGGGACTCGTCAGCTGGATGTACACCTGCACCTCAGTGAATGTTGTTCACACCGAGACTCGAACTTAGTACCCATCGCTTCAAACGCCAAAGCACTATTTACTAGGCCACTGTTTCATGATAACCACTTCTTTTACAACGGGTATTTGTTATTCCTTGATCTTTGCAATCTCTCGTTGCTATATACGGCTATACAGAGGTTGAGTGATCCAGCCCTGTTTAGCAACGGGGAAATCAAAGAAAAATAACTCATACCCACTGCACAAGTGGTTTCTCTTGTGCCTCAGTAGTCTAGCAGATAATGATTCAGCGTTTGAAGTGATGAGTCATAGGTCCGAGTCCCAGTGGGAACAACACTACTCACTGAGGTGTAGGCACATTCAGCTGATGAGTTCCAAATAGGACAAGAAGCACGTCTTGGATTCCACTGCCAGTGACCAAGATACATGTGATTTCTTGCTGATTTCAAACGTTTTATATCAAAACTTCAGATGGACCACCGCCTATATGTATTACTCACTGGTAAATTTCATCCTTATGAGAATTATTCTTACCTGACAAAATATGCCCATTTATACATGATGAAGAACACGATTTATACCAATGAATTAATATTTGTTTTTAACGTTGAAAAGGAATATTTCTTCGCTTCTTATTCTTATCATTTCTATTCAGAATTGTTAAAGATGCTCGTCAAGAGGTGAGTCTTTCGTCTAGAATTTATCAAGAAACTGATACAGTTGAGATTTTTGAATATGGTTAACTAGGGACAAGTAATTAGAATGCCAAATAAATGATATAAGATTCAACAACTCACTTAGCTAACACAACGAAGGAGACAGTATTTGAATTATTAAAAGTTTACTTGAATACAAGAACATAAAACTAGGAGGGAGCATCTTATGCATTCATCTATACAATATGAGGATTCTTGAGACCAAAAGACAAATAGGCATATTAAAAGTGGGAAGAAAATCAGTGGGAAAATAGTGTTTTTAAAGCGGTAAGAAAACAAAAAGCGATGCCTAGAAAGTGACAATAAGGCATAACAAAGACAAATTGAAATTTCTATTAAGCAAATTTATGAATTTAGGACATAAAATGATCATTTGGGGAGATTTAGCATCCCCGATAGATACAGTTAGGAGCGTGGTAATTTATCGCTGTCCCACAAAGATACTCAAACTCTTGTTTATTTGATATATTAAACAGTCATAAACAATAACAACAAGAGTCAAACTCTGGAACAATAAGGTCATCCCTCCCCCCACCCACAAGACAATAGACCTCAATGTTGGCAAATATCCTTCAAAAATAATTTATACAACTTGGAAACGTTTCACTTAGTTATGAAGAAAATGCTGATGAAATCACCTGGAAACGTGGAAGGCTATTTCTTTTTACGGTTCCATGAAATAGAAAAAGACTTGTGTTACCTCAAGGCCTATGTTACATCTCCGTAAGGCCTATCACACATAGCCTTTTCAGAATTGCTGTTTTGAGATTTGGTTGTCCTAACGCCAGATAGAAACCCATACCGCCTGGACTGTAAGACTGTGGGGCAGGAAGGATTGTGCTATTTTGAGGCCCAATATTTTTCAACCCCCTCCCCCTCCACGACGAAGGCAGAGTGAGAGTGGCACTGGTTGTTATCCAAGGGAAACACCTTACTACTATCACATCCCATCCAGCTAGCAGCAGTACGACTTTACCCTCAGAATCGCATCATAGTGTAGTAATTTACACTACAACAGTAACTGCTTTACATTTTATCGCTATCCAACAGACCTCTCTGGCATGGTAAGACATCGAGGGGACAAGCGTTCTAGTTAGCGTAGCTCGTTAAGTCAAGATGGTATCCAAGTCCAACCACCATATCAAGGTAGCAGTTATCAGTCGGGATGAAATCACCTAGGCTTGGGGATTACGTAACATCTACGAACAAAGCTTAAAGCTTAGACAACACTGAACAACTACGACAGTCGTATAGTATTATCTATTGGATAATGCTGTTTTGAATAAAAAAGAAAATAATGTGGAATGCCGTGGAATTAAACTAAATTATCAGGAGAAAAAAAAAAAAAGAATACTAACCTCTTGAACTGCATGTGAATTAGAAGAGTTTGGGTCAATTCGACTCATTTGTCTTAATGATTCACTTTCATGAGGAGTTAAACCAATCCATTCAGTTAGTAAATCAGAAAGAACATCTAAGTCAACGATTGCACTACCATCTGTAATTCGTACAGCTAACGTCCATTTAGTTCCATGATGATGTTCCAAAGACGATAAAAGACTGATAAGTAAACCACGTATTGTGTAAACAGCACCAGTAGAATTTGAACTGCTACTACTACTAACATTGCTTTTAAGTAGATTCTGATACATATCCTATGAAGAGAAAATAATTCAACAAAAATAGGTATATACAACTGAATATTAATCAGAACAGATAAATCAGTTCGACAGCATTGATTTCGATGGTAATATCAGATTGGTAAGACAATAGAAATAAGGAACAACGAATAGGTTTCAACTTCCTAGTCTCAGATTAGTTCGAAGCACACAAATGCACACAACTTAAAAACATTCACAAAAAAAATATCTACCTTTCAAAGATTTGTCACTCTTTTCGAATCACCTAATACTGGCGAATCACTTAACTGAAGTTAAGCTCCATCTTCATGTTTGGATTTATGTAATAAGTCACAAACTATTTTTCAAAGACAATCTGACATACTGTAGTAGTCAGTAACAGAAGTTCAAAAAGTACTTTAATCAGACAAGGCTTCGAAGACTTCTATTCATCCATACACACAAACAAATAAGATTAAATATCGTAAAATGTTCGGCTTTATGATATGATAGAAAAGAATTGGATATGTATTCTCAAAACAACTATTCATATCTACCCAAATATTGAATAACGTGCAGATAGATAGAAACCACAATGTTCAACCTTTACAAAATATGATCAGTCGACATCAATATAAAAGTAAAAATGGCGAACTGTGGTAGAATGTCATCCCATTTTAGTTAATCTATTAAATGTATCATGCAACGATTGCATTTCGAACATAATCTGTGATCCATTGTTTTGTCAACGTTTGTCGTGCCCTAGTGGCTAAGTGGATAACGCTTTGGTGTTTGAAGCGAAGAGTACTGGGTTCAAGCCTTAGGGAGAACAACATCACTCACTGGGGCACATCCAACTGACAAGTCCAAAATAGGACAAGACATGCATCCTGTATTCATCTACTAGCCACCAAGATCAATATAACTCTATAACTTTGAGACATAGTTTAAATAATAATTCTCTCTCCTTCATTGTGATATAGGTAGTAGGGTTTTCTATACATCTAAAAGAGGTGCGGAGTCATACCTGATACACGTATTTCGTGTTGATTCGATAAACAAAGTTTCACTTATCTATCTTTCCTTCTATCCCACTAAAGAAGTTTTAAGAACTTTCATTGTTATACGTTTAGTTGCCTTGACAAATTTAAACAATGCGAGAACAAAGACATCTGCAGAATAACATGAGCTCATTTTATTCCATGACTTTTCATCAGCTCCAAATACCCTACAATTGAAATGAGTCATTAGTAGTAATAATAACATAACATGCCTTACACACGCCAAAATAAATTGCGATTTGAAACCCAGGATTAATAATAAGGTAGTAAATCAAGGAAACACAGGATTAATAGTTACATATCTTAGTCAACATTTATAGCTATTTATATCTGATGAGATGGAAAATTCTGAAGGTGTGGAGTGGAAGAACGACAAAAGAAAATCAGTGTAGAAGAAGGGACTGTTTAAGGGTCAAGAGGTTACGTAATTACGTGAAAAACTTGAAAATCGTAAAGTGATTAATACTCAATAAGTAATTAGTAAGATGACGTAATCAAAAGAAAAAGGGAAGACTGCATACATACATATGCAAAAAATTATATACATTTACCAAGGTAAAGAAAGATTAATTACAGTCTCCTTCTGAGTACATACGTCAGGTTGAAAATGTTTGATAATAAACATAGTGTTCTTTGTTTGTTGATTATCCTGAAGGATTGAGAAATATCTATTTGATGTTCTGTTTCCCTCAGATGCCTGGCGATTGTGCTGGCAAAGACCTTGCTACTATTCACACACAGATTTCTAGGAATATGGTACAGCTGAGAAAACTATCCACAGAAGAGACACGTAGATTGGTCAGTACCTTCACTACAATAGCTTTTATCCTGTCAGCTATAAGCGTGGTTTAGTCAGGATGCTATTGACTACAATAAAAAAGGCTGTGCTCCAAAGATAAACAAGAAAAAGAATTCGAGATAATTGAGAAGGCTCTTATACAGAATGGATATTTGAAGAAATTCATGATAAAGCATGGAAAAGAATTTACTGACAGACCAAAACACCCACCAACTGCTGAGAAGAAGCCTATTTTCTTTTGCTTAGCATTCAAAAGTGCTGAGACATCTGAAAGAATAGATAATAGAATAAAAGCTGCACCCAGGAGGAGCTTCCCCGCTGCCAGACTGATCTCAGTTTACAATACATTATGCTCAATAACACAGTCAAAAGTAGACAAATACCCATCTCACGTCACCTCCAACTGCGTATATCAATTCGCCTGTGTCTGTGGAAGCAAATGCATAGGATGGACTGAAAGAAGCGTGTCTACTCGATTTTATGAGCGTCTTTCGAGAAATCTGTATCTGAATGGTAGAAAGGTCTATAAAAGTGGAATCGTCAGGCACCTGATGAAAACAGGACGTCAAGCAGATGTTTCTCAATCTTTCAGAATAATCGACAAACAAAGAATACCATGTTTAATGCGGTTGGCAACAGCTAAGCGAATTTGTAGGTTTTAATGCTACTCTTATTCCAGCTTTACTGAGAATTCTACGTAATGTCTTTGAGGTGCCTTCTTTGGACGGCGATACTATTCAGGTTTTGAATTCTGTCTTCATAGCATTCCCATTAGAGTAATTATTACTACTATTACCATCTACGTTAAAGCTAGTAGTTATATTTTTGTTACGATTACTACTCATGAGTAGTATGTCTCTAATGTAACCGATTTCTTGTCTTAAGTCTCACTAGTACGTTTCTTGGCCCTGTTACTAAGACACTTTACTTGGCCAACTTTAACTGACATAAGATGAGACAATTTGAAGTCTACGTAGAGAGTCAAGTACGAAGCTTTCCTCACGGATACTAGTGTCTAAACTTAAATCTAATCGATCAACTAATATAGAACGATGAGTAAAAAGTGTCCCCATTGGTTGCCTATTATTAGCATATGCGGAAATTAAGACTGTGTGTTTCCCACTCATTCGAAAACTTTCTGTTGGAGATACGTCACCGAGTGACGGTATTACTATTTGAAATCGTAAACAGACACTCATTCCCACATATTCTAAAGCGTTATCCACTAGAGTTTACCGAGTCACAAGAGGAACATCAATAGACTAGTGGTTGACATCATAGGATTTGAAGGAATGGTTGATGCTTTTATTCTCCGTGGGAACAGTAATATCTATCACTGAGTAGGATGCCAGTAGATCCAATCTATGAGTAAGAAACGCAATAAAATGCATTTCTTGAGTTCTTGAGTCAATAACACAAGAAGCACGTCTTTTTCACAATTAGTTAAACTTTAAAATTCGCATGAAGTATTCTCAATAGGTTAATTTTCAGTTCACAGTTATGAATTACAAAAAAAACATTTCCAATAGATTTGTTTTACTCAGAGTAAGATAACAACACAAGTGAAGCTTGAATAAGTTTAATAAAAGTACTTGTATATTAAACTAAGATAAAGAAGTGAAACAAATGAGACTTCGTGTGAGGCATGCTAAGTTCGTTTATTCAAAAGCATACTACCTATATAAACACCTACGCTGAAAGGTCAAGAAATATATATATTTAAAGGCTTTATAGGTTTACAGGAGAAAAATTATTTTCCTCTGCAGTTGAAATACACATGAAGTGTTTTGACAATTTACGGATAAAGAGTATTGTAAATGAGATAAGACTTTGTAATCTAAACGTGTAAACACACCTGATTACGAGTAGAGAAAAGCAACTAAGATACTTGTATAGACTTCAATATTAAACTTAAATCTAGTAGAGTTGTGAAAATTTACTTGCTGGTTTCAGGTTGGTATTCATCATGGAACATTGGATTCCGACCCAGTGGCTTAATGATAACGTGGTTGCCGTGAAACACGAAGGTCCTGGGTTCGACCCCTGGCAAGGCGGGGTAGTGGGTGCGCGCTGCTGAAAAGCCTCATACTAGGACGAAACAGATTTTCATTGCTTCTAGGTATCCAATATTTCTCCAACTGATGTCACTACGTGATGAATACTAACCTGAAATCAATAAATCCCTACAAACAGCAAGATTGAATTTCTATTTTGTAAAACTCGTTGTTAGGTTACATACATGGGATAAGATTTAGATAGAGGTGAAAGTCTAAATTGCTATAGAATTTAAAGATGATGCATTAACCCTCACCTTTTAGCGAAGTTGTGTAAGAGAATAAACAATCTAAATATAAAAGTTAGTGCGAATACTCAAGCATTAGAAGACATCAAGGAGTGCATATATATCTCCTCTATTGTGACTGATTTCTAGCCAAGTCAAAAAGGGTCGTCAACCACTGATTCCCATTGTCTCGTGAACCCCAGCCCCAAAGTCTACATCTCTTCATACGGTCCACATTTCCCAATTCTATCAGTTCATGATATAGTGCAACTTCCATCCAATACCATCGTCAAGCATTAGTCATCTCCTACTTGGTTGTCCCCCATCGATCACGACTTCTTATTAGAACTTTCATTCACTGAGCACTAAAAATATTCAATTTAGAGATTTGGGGGGGATTGATTTATTGATTTCAGGTTGATATTCATCATGAACTTCGACCCAGTAGCTCAACGGAAACGTGTTGGTCGCGGAACTTGGAGATAATTGATTCCATCTCTAGCGGGGTCATGTGTGCGCATTGTTGAGTAGTTCCATAATAACAGCTGGGTAAGTTGAGCACATTGGGTCAATCGATTACATATGAAAAATATTTGTAACACATAGATGAGGTAGAAAAATCGATTCCTGAGTTTTCATGACCTCGAAGAAGTGACTTCCTCACACAATACAATTAAATAGTAAATAAAGACGAATTAGTTCATATAGATCATTATTATTGTGACTTATTTTTCCCTACGGTTCCTAGTAGAACATAGGGCTTCAATAGCATGTCGCCATTTCACTCACTTCTCTTCACTCTTCTTTCTTAACCTATCTCCACGACTGCCCCAAAACCTTTCATTTCTTCCTCACACCATCTCCTCCATGTCACCCACCTCTCGGACGCACAACT